CTATCTGAAACTGACAAAATCTTAATCAGTTTTGCCTTTTAAAGCAAATAGCCAATGCCAGCTCATAACTTTCTATATGTATTTCCCATTGTGTTCCTGCTTACTCTTTTCACTTTGAGAGCAGGCAACTCAAAAATTTCATTTTTGATGTGTGCCACAGTAAAAAAAATGACAATAAAGGTTATCTTATCTTGTAATCCCTTCCTTTTCATCAACTCCATTACATATCCATTAGGTATCAATACAATAAATATAAACATTAATTATCTTCTTGTAATTATCCTAGCACTGGGTGAGTTTTCCCAACACTGGGGGAATGGGGGAAAAGGGCTATAAAACTTGCCCTTCTTGTCAGCTGAGTTTGGGAAACCTTTCCTACTGTTTGGGCTCACCCAAGCTATTTGGGCTAATACCCTTGTGATGCTATAAATGCTGTATATTCAGGGACAATTTCTTATTAAAACTTTTTCCAGATTACTATCCTGACATCTCTCTTTGTTTTCTCATTCTCTGATATTTGTCTTGCAAATTCTAAATGACGGATTGATACATAGATTAATGGCAACACTCAGTTTAATCATATTCTTACCTTTCTTTCTGAGAAACCACATACCCATCAATTACTTTAAGACTGAGACACCAACTGACAATAAATGGTCGGTAATCAAAACCCGGAATGTTAGGTGTTGCCATCACACAAGGATTGTTCATAATTGAGAGTTGCTCTAGTTTAGGAAAACAGGTCAAGAAAGAAATCTAAAAAGAAAAGGAAATGATTATTTTTGTGATTAAATGTAAAGAAAATTTACAGGCTGAACAGCACTATACATGTATCCTACAACTTAGTTATATTAGATGTTTCAGGGAAAAATTATTTTACTTGCTTAATTTAATTCAAAGACTATTGTTTTATTCTATTATCTTCCAGAATTTAATAAACATAAAGTAATAGAATATTTTCTGCCAATAACTTTAATGTAATATGGAGGACATTTCAATTACAAGTAGTCCTCGACTTACAACCATAATTGAGCCCAAAATTTCCATTGCTAAACAAAGACAATTAAATGAGTTGCGCCCCATTTTATAACCTTTTTGTCACTGTGGTTATGCAAATCACTGCAACTGTTAAGTGAAACATGCAGTTATTAAGCAAATTTGGCCTCCTCCATTGACTCTGCTTGTCAGAAGCCAGCTGGGAAGGTTACAAATGGTGATCATATCATCCTGAGATATTGTAACTGTCATAAATACATGCTAGTTGCCAAGCACCCAAATTTTGATCACATGACTACGCTGTAATGGTCAGGTGAAAACTGGTCATAAGTCATTTTTTTCAGTGCTGTTGTAACTAACGATCATTAAATAAATGTTGTAAGTAGAGGACTACCTGTACAGTATTTCTTGTTCTTGTAATTCTATAATTCAGGGGTCCCCAACTTATGGGCTGCAGCCCACTAATAGGCCATGGCCTGTTTGCAACCGAGCTGCATGAGTGGTGGGCCAGCGCGTATGCAGCTCAACCTACACGATTGGATGCTGGTGCTTGCACCCCACTTGCGCGAGCGGCAGGTGCAGGCACACAGGTGCGCAGCTTCATTTGTGTGAGCAGCGGGCGCATGCTCACACAAAACCATCCCTTCTTCCCTCCCCCGGGCACCAGGTGACCAACCCAGAAAGGTTGGGAATGCTGTTATAATTGGACATGACATTAAGAACATAAAAACAAAAGGTCATCCACATGTTCGTAGATCCTCCAGAAAACAAACCAAAATCACAGTGAATTTTCATGGCTCAAGACAGATTGAATGAAGACATTCCCCATGTCTAACATGTTTTAAAAAACCATACTGCACACTGAACTATTTCTCTTTTTGATAGTTTATTGAAAAAAATTAATCTACTGTCCATCTTCATGTCCCAAAGTATAATTGCTGACAGTTTTAAGAGGAAAATATTTATAACTTCATGGTTATATTTGCTTCAAGCATGATTCCTCCCTGCTTCATCTATAAAGGTGTTTAAACCAAAGTTAAATACACACTACCTTTCAAATGATGTTTTTACTTCTTAATCTGTTCAAGCTGATCATTACTAAAAAAAAAAAAAAAAGGTACAGAATACCTGTACCAGGAACATTTGTTCCTCTCTCCCCTTAGGTAGCATCAATTTTATTTTTGTTTTAATTTCTATATTTATTAAATTTAAAATAATCCAAAATTTAATTATTCTCATAGTAACTAATATTTAAATTTCAAAAATATGCTGCAAAGAAATTACTGTAAGAATCTGTCTCAAGAAATGTCGTTCCCCCTTTACAGTATTTTAATGGTATTTAATTACTAACATATTTAATTACTTAAACAATCATTAATTAAATGACTGCTATTTACTGTCATTTAATTTTAAAATCTACATATCTTCTGTGCCCAAAATGTAGCCATAAAAATAAAAAATAGATAAAAATATAATGAAATGTAACTATAGTAATTTAAGCTTTCTCAAAAAATTTATTCCGTTTTCTTCAAAAACATTATTCTTACCTCATTCAAATCTCTAATTTCATTTTCTGCCAATGAAAAAATAGTCAGGCTTTGAGGTAAACAAGAAGGTGCTGAACGCAATGATGTTATGATATTTCCATGCAGTAGTAAAGTCTTGAGGAATAGTAGAATGGAGAAAACAATATGTAGAAGTTTACTTTAATAATGTGAATTTCTCTGAATATTTATAAAACAACTACATAAGGATTATGAAAGTACAGCTGAGTATATATACACATACACACACACTTGAAATATCATTTATGTTTAACACATGGGTGTATGTTAAAAATAAATGATATTTTAAGGGAATGTAAAAAAATGTTCATAACTGTATTTTCTCTTTAGTTTCAATGAAATGTAATATGTTAGATCTAAATATTAGTCATCGACTAGTTAATGATGATCATTCATTTTGATGAGACTACAGCATATATTTTTATGTATCCAAATCATGTTTTAATGCAGTGTTGTCCAACCTTTTGGCTTGGCTGGGCTGCACTGAGTGAAGAGCAATTGTCTTGGGTCGCATAAAAATATATACAATATTGTTGTCGTTGTTGTTAATTGCGAAGTCGTGTCCGACCCATCGCGACCCCATGGACAACGTTCCTCCAGGTCTTCCTGTCCTCTACCATTTTCTGGAGTCCATTTAAGTTCACACCTACTGCTTCAGTGACTCCATCCAGCCATCTCATTCTCTGTCGTCCCCTTCTTCTATTGCCTTCAATCTTTCCCAGCATTAGGCCCTTCTTCAGTGAGTCCTTAACTTCCTTTATTTTTTTTATATTTTTATCTTGTGAGGCTGCATTACTAGCTCTCCAGGGCCACATGTGGCCCGCAGGTCGGACATGACTGCTTTAAAGGCATTTACAGAAGATTTTTATTTGAGACAGCTTTACACTACATTTTATTCATAGTTACTTGAAGAAAATGTTCTTGTGAATCAAATCAAATCTTTATTACAGTCAAAGGGCAACAATGCTGCTGTTAACTCACTCCTTAATTAGGAATACTTAGACCATCAAATAATATAAGCTAAGCAATATTTACCTTTAGAGATGAAAGTTTGGCGATATCTCCTATTTGAGATATATTGTTATCCGACATATCAAGATGTTGAAGAGATGTGCAGCAACTGATCTGGTCTATAGTCTAGAGGAAGATAAAATATTTTTCAGAAACAATATGAAGCTTAATTGTTGCAATCTTTTATGGTTCTTGATACCAAAGTGTCTCTTACATTAGGAAAAAAATGTAGTATATCAAATAATATGGTATGGGGTGCCTTGAGTCTGCATTGATTCCTGGCACTTGCCTGGACAAGTCCCTGAAGTTTTGTTGGCAAGATTTCAGAAGTCAGAGGTGGCCTCTTTATGACTTGGCTGGCTCAGGAATTCTGGGAGTTGAAATCCACAAGTCATAAAAGGGCCATAGTTCCCCACCCGTCAGAAGTGATTTACTATTTCCTTCTTTCTAAGACTGAAAAAGAGTTACTTGGCCCAAGATCTCTCACTGGCTGGTGCCTTATCCATTACCTCCAGCTGGTTTTCAATTAGGACATGCTATAAATTCATCTTCCATAATTAAAAAAAGAACATGTGTGCTTTATTCTATTTAATTTATGACAAAGGTGGATAAAAGTTAGATTACGTCTAATAGTAGACCTTTGAATGATACAATTTCTAACTGTTTAATATAACATGTAAATGCAGTAAATTAGTTTCCAATGTGAAAAAAAATTGTGAAAAAACGGGACTAGATTATGTGGAGAAAGCCTGTGAATCTAGAAATAATAGTAAAGATACATAAAATCACAGAATATAAGGGTTGGAAGACATCTTGGAAATCATCTAGTCTACTGTTCCCCAACCTTTCTGGCTTTGTGGACCAGTGGCGGCTCATATGCCTGAAGGCCGCTTTTGCGGTCCGGTTACAAGGGCTCAAGGCCTGGTAGAAGGCTATGACCCAGGGGCTGGGAACCCCTGATCTAGTCCATATCCAAAGCGGGAATTTACTATGTTGTGTGCTTGGTCAGAGGAATATTCTTCACTAACTCTTAGATGCACATTTCCCCTAAGCTTCTGTTTTGCATATGATTTTAGTTTTATTCTAATAAGCCTGATTCTAATTTGTATCTGATTCTTAAACACAGGATCATTATTATAAAATAATGGGCTCAAAACAGACTCCTGAAATTCTTGATGCAGTCCCAGAACCTCCAAAAGTTGCTATCAAACAGTAATTTTAACAACATTATAAAATACTTGGAGTAGAATCATATTTCCCACTTAGTGTAAAGAAAATTTAAATGGAATAAAATAAAATGTACTTTCTATTGGCTCCACCCACTACTTTTTGGCGTCTGCTGACTTGCACATTTCTCAAAGTTAAATGTAACTTGCTACCCAGAAAAAGTTGCACAATTCTGTTCTAGCAGCTTGAATTCTAATAAAACAAAGATTCCAAGACTCTGAAATTAAATTATTATACATTTTAAAAAGCAGGACTACAGAAGAACTACTAAAAAGTGAGAAATGTGTATTCAGGTGCAGAAGTACGGTATAAAGGCAGGACTGGAATACAAGAAGAATTCATCTGAAAATAAACAAAAATAATCTCATATTTTTAAATATTGTAATTAATTTCTTTGTACAACAAGTCTAAAGTAATTTACCTAAAATGTATTACTTAAAATAATTAAATTTCATTTCTAATTTTAAAAATCTGGAGTTGACTAACAAAACAATTAAATACAATATTAAATTCTATAATAGGCAACAGAATATAGATAAGATAATCTTTGTTGTCATTTTTTTACTGTGGGCACAACGGCACACATCAAAAATGAAATTTAGTTGCTGTTGCGTCCTTGGCGGGAAAACAGACACGAGAAGCAGCTGGAGTTCTCAGTTTCTTTTATTCAGCGTTCAGCTTACAGGAAGATGGCTTCAGCCTCGCCCAAACGCCTCGCAGCCTCTTATATAGGCAACTCCCGGGTAAATGGGTTACTTTTCCCGCGCCAGCACCCGCGCATGCGCACGGCGCTGGCGACAGCCTGTCTGGTCCCGGGCAGCTTTGCACCTGCCCGGGACTGCCTGCAAACGCCCGAGCCGTTTGCAAAGGCTCGGGACATAACAGTTGCCTGCTCTCAAAGTGAAACACATACATGACACACATCTAAACATACTATATACAAAATATGTATAGACTCACACCCATACATATACATGACAAACAAATATTAAATACTGTCCATCTTGAATATATAACTGAAGGAGGAAGCTTGAGAGTTAGATAGATATGAAAACTGTTAAGAGGGTATAAACTACTAAGAAGGTATTCCATAAAACAGATGATAAAAGTATGCATTGACAGATTTTCCATCACAGCAAAAGTCCAATTAAAAAGGAATGTTTATCTCACAGGAAGGGAATTCCAACATTAGCCATAGAAAAGCCTTTTTTCTCTTTTTCTTCAAAACACTTGCATCCAATAGTATTATTTCAGCGAGGGAACAACACTTACAGTATTACTAGAAAGCTTCTTCTTCACCGCTTATACATTGCCCAAAACTCATCTGAATGGTTGAGGGGCCATCAGGAAAGCATTGTCAACATAATGTAAGCTGTTATTTTCCCCTCCAATTCTATTCTATTCTATTCTATTCTATTCTATTCTATTCTATTCTACTCTAAATTAAGTTCCTAGGTATGATATAAATTCAATACAATACTACTATAGCGGATTAACATTTTTATTGTTTTAAATATTTACTTACAATTTCAATTTACAAGGCCACTTACTTCTATACAACCCCCCCAAAGGCTAGATGCAAGTATTATTTTGTTCATTATTTGCTATTTATTTGATTATTTAAAGAAATTTTACCTTTAAGTTGTTTCCTGCCAGATTCAGCCACTCCAGGTACATTAGCTCTTTCAATCCCTCTATGTAACCAATACTGTTGTGAGGCAAGTTTAACACTCGAAGATGAGTAAGTTTTGCTACACCCATCATCCGCACTAGCCGATTGTTGGCTACTGACAACTGCAACAAAATGGACAATAGCTTCAATTTTGTTTACTATTATTTTAATTCTTGGGGGAAATTATAAATTGGAAAATATGTACGTACCAACCAATGCTAGAGGTTAGTATTTTACTGCAAAGTAAAGTACCAACCTCTAGCATTGTAGGTGAAGGCTATGGTTGGATCAGATGCAACCCAATCTGGAATATCATGCTACGTTGAATGAATGCAACCCAAACTGAAGTGCGAAGTTCCTGCTACAATGACCTATGCTTTCATCATTACCTGTTTAAGACTATTGCCAACATGCTTTTCATTGGTATGACTTTGAAAGCTGCAGTTGTTAGGAGAACAACAGCAGCTGACCTTTGCCAGTGGAGGCACATTTCACTAGTGTTGCAACCATGCATTTTATTTATTTTTATTTATGTATTAAATTTTTATGCTGCCCATCTCCCTCTACAAAGTGACTCTGGGTGACTTAATGAAGATAGGCTTTTGTGTGTAATTTAAAATGTTTATACTAACCTATAAATTCTTACCAGTTATCTGCAAGCCTGCATTCTTGTACTGGAAGTTAAACATAGTTTAAACCTCCCTTCATATCAGTCTCTTTGTGACTGCACCTACAAAAGTGCTTTCAAAATTCATTTTCACAGAATAGGTCTTCCCAATAATATTCTGTCAGAAGCTTTTAATTACTTCAAAACCAATAAATATAATAAATATTAATGAACACAAAGATAATTAGTTGTTCTAATTTGAGTACATGGTGTTTGCATATAAAGCTGGAGAATCAAAATCATTGTATTAGATTCACATTCACTGAAAGTTATTATTGAGCATAAGCTTTGCTGACAACATACAGAATGAAACATTATAATTTATTTTTTCCAAGTTTCCCCCAATTTAAGTAATTTAACAAAGCATGTTTATTCATATATATATGTATATATAAAAACCTACCTGCATCAAGTTCTTATAGTTTTCCAGGTGTTCCAATTTAATTAACTGATTTTTATCCAAAATCAAAGTATGTACGTCTGCATTACAGGATAAAGTTGGTCCTAGTTTTTGTAAACCCTGGCCTGACCAATTAATTAAAGAACCTGTTAAATAAGAAGAAAACAAATCCAAATGTTAAAAAAACTCAACACAGCTAATTTAAAAGACATTATGCAATCATGCCCTATACAATAACTCTTAGGATTTTGCAATACAGCATTTAAACTGGGCACCAATTTCTTTATTCTTTATTTTTAATATATCTGAAAAATCTGGTTTTGTCTTTAATAAACTCTGTCACCTTAATATATTTTGAGCTTTAGCTTTTGTAACATACTCTTTATAGTGTCAAGCAAAATTTTTCTAAGTGTTTTAACATAACCTGCTCATGTCAGGAGCTGTCACATTTCAATGGGGCTCAATTCTAGCCTGACTTGGCCATTTCAAAACATTGCATTTGGGTTTTACCCATTCTACTGTATACTTATTTCTGTATCTGAAACCAGTGTCTTACTTCAAGATCCATTTGAACTTCGTGTCAATGATAACCATGATGGTCTCTGGTAAAACTTTCTATTATAAAGCAGAATTTCTGCCTCACTTAATGATGACAGCTTACTACTTTGAGGCAGCAAAGATTTTACTACACTTTTTTATTGGTATTTATTTATATGTCATATTTCTAAACTGCCCATCTCCCTCAAAGAGGAACTGTAATGTTTACTTTTGTCAGGCATAATAACATATACTTAGTCTGGAAGTTAAAGTTCTACTTTTGCCTCATCAATCCATGGGGCATTCTTTTTAAAAATGATTTTATTAAGGATTATAATTGTACAGATAAAAACAAATACAAAGCACAATAAATAGAAAAATTTCAAATGTGATTAAGAAATGAGGCTTGGCCAAGCTTTATATCCATATTTGCCGTATTATAACTGTGGACATAGTTGACATTCCTCCACTGTGCTCACCAGCTGACTGTAAAAACACCCATTTCTGCAGTCTACTTATGAGTAGCATGCCTGGACTATATGTATATAATCCCACTATCTCTTTTCTCCAGAGAGATTATGCTGCCATCTTCCGGCTGCTGATTTCAGCCATTTTGCCATTTCTGCTTCTTTAGGGACACCTAGTTCATTTTCATCATGTCCTCACCAGAAATTCAGCATTGAACATTTCTACAAAAATATAGTGTGTCATCCAGCTACTTTTTGACAAATGTTCTTCTTTGTGACCAGTGGTGATCATTTTGCAACCTCTATTACAAACCTCATTTCCCCCCCCCCCCCAGGATTTTTCTAATGGTTGAGTCACACTTTGTCTTGAACAAATGTGGCCTACAGATCCATAGAAGTTATTCTGGGATTCTTTCTGACTTCCTAATTTATGCTGTACTCTTGCAGTGATTTTGACCAGACATAAATCTTTTCAGGTCCATATTTCTGGGTATATATAGTTCTGGGGTTTTTTTTGTTTTGTTTTTGTTTTTGGTTGTTGTTGTTGTTTGTAATTTGACAGGATTTAATAACTTGTTTACAAAGATCTTCATGTTTAGAATCAAGAACTCCATCATTTGTGTCCTCCCCCCCAAGTGTTTCAGCCATTTCCATTTTCTTGGTTAACAATAGTATCAAATCACGGATACCTGTAGTAGTGTAGTTGATCTTTGTAGTTCATCTTTTAAAATGGAAAATTGTCATAAAGATTGGTCTGGAATTTTTGAGAGATTTTGTGTTTAATAATTTGTTTCTCAACAGACTTGGTAATGATTGAAGAGTCCCATTACTACCACTGCATGTCTCTTGGAAATTTCTGCAGTTGGCTTTTGGAAAGCATTGCCTAATTTTAATCACATAGTCCTCGATTACTCTGGCCATAGCAGATGCTAATAACAGTATTGGTTTTATATGATCCTCTATTTACCCAGATATTCTGTAGAATATGCCACTTCCTCTACAAAGATTTAATCTGTTAAAGAAAATGTACGTACTAAAATATACCATATTACCGTTATTATTAAAAGGGAACACTCCCTTGTGCAATTTTGCCATCTTGTGAAAAATAAATTCTTACATATAACAAGAGTTTAAACATTAGCAAATAGCTTGCAACACAACCTCTCCCTCAAAGAGACACAAATACCGCAATATTTTCAGGACAAAAACTAGTTACTAAAAAGAATGATAGTAGTATCTCATCTAATTACATAACTTTCATTACACTTGTATTTGATGTGCACATATAGAAAAAAGGCACAAAGGAATGTCTGGAATTATTTCAATATACGTGCATGTACATATAAAAAACGCCAAGCAAAGAGTAAGAGAACTGCTACCGCTCCTACAAACTACACAAAGAAACAATCGCTCGCAAGGCCTTTCGGGATTTGTAGTGCATTGTTAAAATTAATTCATATTATTGATCAAAACCTAGGCTCACACAAACTACAGTCCCCATATGGCTCCGCGCGATACTCAGTTCCCCCCCCCCCAACGGTCAACGAAAAGCTTCCTTAGCAAGCTCCCCAAATCGTTGATCTTCGCCGCTCCCCGCGATCGGTAGATTTCACTCCTACCTTGACTAGCGCCCGTGGATGGCTTTACCGCCTCAGTCTTCGTTGCGGAAACCTCCGCAACCGATGCTGCCGCCATACTTCCCGCTTGCTTCCAATGCTAGGCAACCGTGCTGAGGCTAGGTACTGATTGGTTAACAAAAAACACTTGAAAAAAAATATCGGAGATTTTATATTGCAGTACAAAGTTTTCAAGGCCCCTTCTGTCACAGATAATGAATTTTATCTACTTTAGGAATTAAACTACCAGCTAATGAAAGCGCAACATTTCTCATCGTATAACAAACAGCGGGTGTTCCCATCGTGCCCCGCGCAAGTATAGAATCCGGTTTCCCAAGAGCCTCTCTTTCTCTTATACGCTGGAGGAACCGGTGGGGTTGTTCCGCTGCCACCATTATGAAGTAAGACTCGGGGCCGAGGTTTAATCCGAGGCCATCCTCAGGTTTGGCACATAAAATGGGGTAGGTTTACGTTTTCTTAGTTTGCTAATTTCTTTCTCGGTAACTTTGGAATGTAGGGTCGAGCTGTGCAGCTTCAGTGGGTACAAGATCTACCCCGGCCATGGCCGCCGCTATGCTCGGACGGACGGGAAGGTAAGGCGTAATATATATATATGACTATTCTCTTGCAATTCTTGTTCAGTATATGTGTGGAAATCATATTTTGATAAAATCACTGGAAAGATCACTGACATTGTTACATATCCATCCAGTTTTATAATTACAGATTTAATTTTTGGTGGTTATATGCCCCTCCTAGCCAGCACTTGGAACAACCTAAAAGGAATGATTAGCCATATAGCAAATGAAGTCTTACTAAATCAAAATACTTACACGTTTTACCTGACTCGCCCAGTGGAGCAGTGAGGTTAAGAATCAACAAGTAGAGCATTTTACATACCTTGGATACAGTGAAAGCACAACTGATGGAGTACTTGCAAAATTAGCATCTTGACTATTTAGGGTTTTTTTAATGTTGCAAAATAACACGGTTAGGGTATAGCTAAGTTTTAATTTGTATATTGCCTAGTTCTCAGCTAATCACTATTGATAACCCAGATCTAGAATTGTTTTCTCTGTCAGTCTGCAGTGGTACAAAAAGCATGTTATGTTAAAAAATAATCTAAATCTTTCAGGTTTTTCAGTTTTTGAATGCAAAATGTGAGTCTGCATTCCTGTCTAAGAGAAATCCCCGTCAGATTAATTGGACTGTTTTATACAGGCGAAAGCACAAGAAAGGACAATCAGTAAGTATTTTGCTAGTTTATGGAGACTGAATAATGATGGCTGCCTGTATTCTTAATAAGAGCAAGAACCTTCAAAATAATAAACAATATCACAAAAAGATGACATTTATTTTACCTCACAGCTTAAATATTCCTGTGTCCCTTTACAAACATCATTACATTTTATTAAAAGGCATACGTGAGTTCAATTTATAGGATGCATACAGTACCTAGATTGAATTGGGATGAAGTAAGAGGGGAAGTAGCTTGGTTATACACAACCAAATTACTTGTGAGACAGTTTATTGTATTATTGAAAACTACTATTGAGTGATTGAAGTGTGCGTGTTCTGTTGCTAGGAAAGAAAATCCATTAAGCTGTGTTTTAAAATGGGTATGTATAGTTAATTGAAAGAAAATGTATTCAAGAAATGTACAGCACAATTATACATCTGTCTAATCAAAAGTAAATCACATTTTTGATAAATTGGAAAAGAATTATATGTACAGAAAAATAGTTCTAATGTAGAGTTAGCATTGTGTATCATGGGTGACAGTGCTGTCAGTCCATGCTAGCCAACCTTTGATATCTCCATATTTGTCTTACGGTAAGTGAAAGACTAGAATCTATATCAAGAAAAAAATCTTCCAATGTGGATTTTATTTTTTTAAAAGTTGATTTTCCTTACGTTTCCTTTGACCAGAAAATGTCAAATATTACAGACAAAAATACAAAAAAAAATTTCTGGGAGTTGAGATAGGTGAGAAACTGAACTGTGGCAAATACATAAAATACTCCAATCTGATATGATCAAGAGGCTTTGTGTGTGTGTCTGTGAAATTTTTTGAGCTTCTGCAAGTATGGATACTTTTTTGAAGCATTTATTTCTTTGTCCAGGAAGAGGTACAAAAGAAACGTACACGCCGTGCTGTTAAGGGCCATAGAGCAATAACAGGTGCTTCTTTGGCTGAAATAATGGCTAAGAGAAATCAGAAGCCTGAAGTGCGAAAAGCCCAAAGGGAACAGGCCATCAGGTGAGTATGTTTTATTCTTATTCTGTATAAATGTATGATTATGATATGGGTCAGTGGTCTCCAGTCCCTGGTCCATGGACCAGCACTGGACCCTGGCATGCCAGCAACCAGACCGCACAAACATGCATGCAAAACCACACCCCCTCCAGGTCCGCAGAAAAACTTCTCCACGGAACCGATCTCTGGTTCCCAAAAGTTTGGGGCTGCTGATCTAGTTGACATCCTTGGCTGAATGTAAAAAATAACATTTGATTATGCATTTTTAACAGGGGAGATGTTACTTTAATTGTACGCTTCTTGTCACATGTAAGGGAATTATGCTAAAAAAATAAGTTACATTAGTACAATGTAACTTAAAAATATAATTGGTGACTTATGGTCTGGGACCCCTTTATTCTGGTATGTGCTTAAACCAGGAATAGCTTCACCAATAGCTAGATCTGATTCCAGACCCTTCACAGGGATGAGATGAATTGAAGCCCTTTTCCAAAAAGGAACTGTTTTAAGACATCAAGAATACTTTGGTGCTTTTAACTCTCTAGCAGCAGCTTGTGCCTGAAGATACTACAAGTAGGGAATTACTTAAAGCATCTAATCGGCAATTCATCTCCTCTAGATTTTTCCTTTTCAGGCACTAGGGTAGGGAAAGCATCATTTTAAGCAATTATCGATATCTGTAAACTATTGCTAACCTAGAATGGGATAAAATTCCTAAAAGAGAAATCAGTGCCTCACATGAGATCCTGCAACTAAATTGAAAAATTGTGTAGAATTTCCCTTCTTGATATATGGCAGGGTAGGCAATATTTTTTGGTTTAGAAATTACACTTTGCCTTTATGCCAGAGGTCTCCAACCTTTCTGGGCTCATGGCCCAGAAGGAAGGAGAGCAGCTTCCATAATTGGTGTGCATGCACGCACACAATGGCGCTGTCAGTAAACGGTGCAGCGCTAGCAGTCCCATTTGTGCATGCGCAAATGGGCCATGCATACCTGTCCGGCACTAGCAACCCCATTCATGCATGTGCAAATGGGCTGTGCACACCCACCTGGGCTAGCAGCCCTATTCACACCCCCATGCATGCGCAAATGGGACCACGGGCACTAGTGCGAGTGGGGAAGAATGTGTGTGTGCACTGGCCAGCCATTTCACCTGGCCAAGAGGCCACAGCCCAGTAGTGGGCCATGGCCCATAGGTTGGGAACCTCTGCTTTTTGCTATGTCTGAGGGGCACAGATTATGTCCTTAGCATTGACAGAATTTCATAATGGAGACAGGGTTCAGGGAAAATGGTTTGATTGGAGGAAGAGTTAAGTGATTAAAAGGAACCTAATGTTGCAGAAAATATTGGCCTCATCTATCCAGGGTTAGGTTCTAAAGGTTACAAATGGAATTCTGAGTTATATGTAACCAAAAGACTCCACACATTCATAAACTACCTATTCTGCTATGTAACAGGCATATTTTTGCATACATTTTGGATGTTAAATAATAAAATGTTATTAATCTTTTTTCAATATAATTAACAGAGCTGCCAAGGAGGCAAAGAAGGCTAAGCAGGCAACTAAGAAAGCAGTACCTTCTACAACAAAGGTAATGCCTGGCAAAGTCTGTTAAAGCAAGACTATGTTTTGTTATGTCATTCTTTGTAGATTCTTATTTACAAAATAATTGTGACTTTGAAATCAAATTGTTCCTGTGTTCTAATCTTTATCAGTTTGTGTCATACTTTATACTTTACCGAATCAGTGAGTGACTTGAAGATAACCAGTTTTTTTCTTAATTTGCTTCATTTATGTTTCACCTTTCCTTTGATTGCCCAAAGTGATAGTATATTATATACGTAAGGATATTTTATTTTCATAACAATTTTCTAAAGTAGGTTGAGCTAGAAGTCAAGAATGAGCATTAGGATCTAATATAAATTTGAATTCAAGTCTCTCATATCCAAATTTATTATCCAGATACTACATTGCTTTTCCGGCCCTATTGTAATCCGGGTTCTCTGTGGGACTCTGCTCTGAGTACACTGTTAAAAGTATCTGTAATCCCCAGTCCTCAGTCAGGGAAGGGGCTGTAATAAACTTTAAAAAATATGATAATTGGATGGTACCATAATTGTTTCTCAAAGGCTGCAATATGAAATTCCTTCAGTCCAATGGTTGCAAAGGAGATCATAGTGTAGCATTTCTTACAAGATTGAAAACTTTGTTCAAATGATTGAGACACTTTGTTCTTATTCAGACTGGACCCCTCTCCAGAAGTTCATCTATACGCATTATGCTAGTTTACACTCACTTAATATGTAGCATACCTCATGAGTGTCTTGTTTTTTTTTTATTTCCAGGCACCAACAAAGGCTGCACCAAAACAAAAAATTGTGAAGCCTGTGAAAGTTTCTGCTCCTCGTGTTGGTGGGAAACGCTGATTTATGCTGATTTGATTATGTCAAATAAAATTTTGACTATAATTGGTCTATGCTCTTTTCTTGAAAGTTTCAGGTTATTTTCATTACATAATAACTTACAATGGTGAGCAAAAATTGTTAAAAACAGCTATTAGCAAAGCATATACAGGAAAGTCTGTATTTAAGAAATTATATTAATGTTAGTTGAAAAAAAAGGACTTAAATCTTAATACATATTGGTAAATTCATTTGAAATTCATGTTACTTTTGCCTAATCTGCCCAAATGCCTTACGTCCTGGTTGTTTATTCAGGGAATTTTGCCACTGAAAACCAATAGTTTTACTCAGGATAAATTTCATCATATTTCAACTATCTTGTCAGCAGCTAATCAGTAGATAGTTGAACATCACACAGCCATTACTATTTTCTGGTGAAGCATCACAATTATGTTTTCTACCATTAAATAGACTTGTGACTACTTATCTGTTTCTCTGCATGGAGACGGAATAATGGCAAAACTTTGCACCAGCTGTTTTCCAATAGAAGGGAAAATGCATGATTCTGAAACTCCTACTCAAGACAGAATTGGATGGAAAACACTTTTTTAAAAAATTCAACATACTCTTATAATCTCAAGAGATATTGATGAATTAGAATTTACAAGATTATATTTGTTGTGAATTTGGCAACTAGGTTTATAAACATGAAAACACTACAGATCCCTAATAATTAAAAAAACCTTTTTACAACTATTTGGGGTGACTGCATGGAGCTGACCATTTACTGGTCGGATGCCCCTCCTGACACCTAGGTAGAGTTTGCAGCAGCTATTTTTTCTTTGTACCCTAAGAGAAACATTTGCCACTACCTAGGATTAAACTCAATCTTTCAGGTGAAAGGCAAGCATCTTCCCCACTAGGTCTCCACACCATTTTGTACTATAGATTCTTAATACAGCCTTCAAATAGTCAATATGTAATTTAGTCAATTGTATATTTTTATAAACAGTGCATAATTTAACCCTATACTTTATGCTGGCAGCCAACGCAGAATGAGAAGTTTATATTACATTAACAAAGTTACTGATAGAAATCCTAGTTTACAACATGAATAATATTTTGCATGGTTTAGACCAGGGGTCCCCAACCCCAGTCCATGGACTGGCACCAGTCCGCAGCATGCCAAAAACTGTCAGGGCAAACAAACGAAGCCCCATCTACAGGATGCAGGCAGCATGCAAAACCATACCCCCTCCAGTCCACGAAAAACTTCTCCATAGAACTGGTCCCTGGTGCCCAAAAGGTTGACCTCTGGTTTAGACTTAAGGAAGAATATTGACAGACTGATAAGTGTTTATTCTTATTTTGTTATTTAGGTTGATAAAGCCATTTAATAGGATGTTAATGGTGATGTAACAGTTCAGAAATGATATTGAAAAACATTTTGCAAGCTTTAAATTAAACTATTTTTATACCACCAACTACAAAATCTCTCCCAGAGATGCTTACATGTTTAAAAATAATTTTGTATATTTTAGGCTATAGCATTCAGCGTGTTACTGTAATGTAAATTATTGTAACTTAATAATAACAACTTGGCTCAAATCTTCAGTATTCTGATAGTTGAATCAAATTTGTGTGCTGCAACCCAACAGTTTTACAAAGGCTAGATGCACTAGGGAGAGAATACAGAAATTTATGAGCAATTCACTCCTACAGTGCATGGCAGCCTTCCACTTGCACATCTACCCAACAACCTTAACATCGAATCCCAATGGAAAGTCAAATGCGTCTCTAAATGCCCAGAGTCCAGACATAGGAAGACATACACATGACCCCACATACACATGACCCCAGGTTTTGAACTACCATGTCAGCAGTGGACAATCCTGAATAGGATTTGCACCTCAAGTGGCGTCTGCTAGGACTGTATATAAATGGGGCATAGTATCCTGCCCAGTGTAAATGTAGAGTCCCATGAATCACATTGTGACGGGCTATAAGCTGAGGGCATATACCAGTCCAGTATGATTTCTTTAATATACACAATGTTGCATTTCAATGGTTAGATGGTCTAGAGACATTGATATTTGAACATAGATCTTTTTAACATTTATATTTGTGTTTTACTAATCTGGGTAAAACTAATCATGCCATATGCTAAATAAATAAATGTACTAAGACTGTTAAGTTCCAAGAATTTCCGCTAAACATATCAGCTGGGAATTCTGAAACGAAGTTTGCTTACTAAGCCTTGTCTGAAAGACCCTTCCAAAACAACAGCTATATATGATAACATTTTATCTGCAAGCTGGGTATACTACATATTATCCAAACGAACAAGTGAAAAAGAAAAACAGTTTTAAAAGATAGGAATCCGTTTTGCAAGTCCCTTGGAGATAAAGTTCAAACCGAGTTACGTTTTCCGGTAATAATTTTTCAGTTTCTGTAGAAAGTGCAGAAAGATACCGAATATGCTACTTTATAAAATTAAACTGTAAACCTTGCCAATTAAGGTCACTTTCATGTTCTCATGGAAGTACTTTAAAAATCGTACGAGCAGACAGTCTAGCCAAGCTGGCAATTGCAGACTGATTAATTCAGTACAAGATAGGAACTACATTTATCTAATGCAATTTAAACAAACTATTTTGCCTATATTACATGTAATTAACCGTCTTCCATCTCCCACTCCTGCTGACCGGTCTCCGCCGATACTAAAACGGCAGATTATTTTCAATGGCTGGCAACGTTTGCCCGATTCCAGCATGGCGACGCTCCTCAAAACGCTTCCCCTTCCCTCTGCTGCTCGCAGGGCTTGGCTAGATCTTCCCAGACCTCACTTCCGCTTGTGCAGCAGCCATTTTGTCTTTCCGTTGATCCTGTTGCCCGCGCTTCTTCCTCCTGCCCATCGCTGCGGACCGCGAAACTACAGTTCCACCTCCTGGGGCCCGATTCCTTCTGGACCCGATGCTTCGGTTTTTTTCTTTATTTTAACCCTTCCCGTATTTCCCCCTTTCTCTTTGCTTTTCCCTTCGCTCGCTCCGAGTGGTCTCCTTTCTGTGACAGGAGACACCATCCACCCACCCGCGACGCCTGCTTATCTTATCCGGAGAGTTCCCTCGCGTCTCCTCCGCTGGGAACCCAAGGGCTCAACCCCACCACCACCCCCGACACAGAGCTAGACCCGCATCGGAACTTCTTGTCCTTTCAGCGGGTGAAGTGCCCCCTCCTCTGCTGACGAGGGGGCGTCCGTCGGCCGCCACTCGCCTCCCCGCCCGCCATGTCGAGCGAGGAGAGCTACTTGGCCATCCTGCGCTACTTGACCAACGAGCGCGAGCCTTACGCGCCGGGCACCGAGGGCAACGTCAAGCGCAAGATCCGCAAGGCCGCCGCCTGCTATGTGGTACGCGGAGGGACCCTTTACTACCAGCGCCGGCAGCGGGACCAGCAGCGCTTCGCCGAACTCGAAGTGGTGCTGCAGGCCGAACGTCGCGGCCGCCTCATTCGGGCAGCCCACCTGGAAACGGACGGTTCCCACCGGACCCGCTTGCAGACTTGGCAGCGCCTCTCCAGGCGCTATTGGTGGCGAGGTGAGGAAAGGCGCTTCGGTGGGTGGGGATGGGAGGAGGAAGAGGGGGTCCCTGCATGACCGGTCTCGGCGGGGCGGGGGAGCGCTGGGCAAGCACACTGACTGGGTGTTCGGAGGTGCCTCGCAGCGGCGCGATGACACGCGCGACTTAACTCGCCCCACCTCTGGTCTTGAGCGCCGCCTTCGTTCGGCAGAGGCGCTCTCTTTCGAAGTTAAAAACGCAGGCGAGGGAGTTGGCGTTGCTAATTGCCAAAGATGAATTTCCGTGGGAATGGGCTTAGGCTGGAAAAGCGCCAGTTCAGTTCATCGGCTGCCTTCCCCTGGATAACTTAACCACGGTTAATCATTGTAAAATGAATCCCATTTTCGGCATTTTGCATGATGCGTGTTGAACACTCAGATAAAACATTTAGGGTCTTGTTTGATCAACAGATTAGGTTTAAAGGCTTTTGGATTAGTTCTACGTTTGATGTGCCTTGACTCTACAGGGGAATGAATGCTTGTCGATGTAAAAAAGTTCATTTTGAACCCCTATATTGAGCCCATGTGAACTGTAATCCCCAAACAAACAGCAGTGATTTTAAAAAACAAAAATTGTATAAAATAAGGAGTGTCTAAATCAGTGGTTCTCAACCTTTTTAATGCCATGACCCCCAACCGGTTGTAAGTCGAGGACTATTCAACTGGTCGTAAGTCGAGGACTACTCAACTGGTGCAGCACCGTTTGCAGAATGGGACTTTTGGCAGGCTCAGCAGGGCAGAGACAGCCTGGACAATTCCTATTGGCTTTTGAAAGCCAATAGAATTAGACTCTATTCAAGAGAGTCTATTCTATTGGCTTTCAAAAGCCAATAGAATAAAAGGGAGTAGCATAGCTAAAGAAAAGGGGGAAAAAATGGTGGACTGCATTGTTTGGTGACCCCTGTGAAATGGTCGTTCGACCCCAAATGGTTGAGAACCACTGGTCTAAATTTTAAGCATATTTTCTTTTTGTAATAGCCTTCAATCGATACACAGCGGACATGCAATTTCAAATTTGATATAGCACTAATCAAGGGGGCTCTTTTAATTTACATAAGTTAGCTTACTACAGACAGAAGACAACTGTTTATCTTCTGTGAATTATTAAATATCAGTTTTAATGGATCAGACTTGTTTTGTTTTGCATAATTATGGATTTCAGGATAGGAAGTCTATAGTAGTGATGTAAATAGCCAGAACATTCTATTTAGGCAGAACAGAAAATATGACTTGTAAAGAATCCTCTCTGCTTTGTTTCTCAATACTATGCCATAAGTGTGGAAAACTATTTTGTACATTTATGGAAAGTATAGGACTGAACACTGATAGGAGTCCTGACTTGACAGGAAGATTTGAAAATAAGCAAAAGCATTGACTTTGATTTAATCTGTTTCCATGCATCTAAATAAAAGATAAAGGTTGAGTGTTTTCAAATAACTGCCCAATATTGAAACAATAATTCAAATATATCAATTTATGCATGAATAAAACAATACATATAAAAAGGTTTTGTGTTTTGTTTTTTTTTAGGTATCCTGAAGCAAGTTAAAGATTATATTAAAGAATGTAGCAAATGCCAGGAAAAATTAGATCGTTCTAGATCATTGTCAGACCCTTCTGAAATGTTGGAAGAGCTAGGATTAGATGCAATATCTCATGAAGATAGTAATGAAACAGATGATGAAATAAATAATGCCACATCACTGCCAGCAGCATCACCAAAACCAGTGAAAAAGAAACCAATAGCCAAGCACGAACTTGTATTTGTAAGTAAATGTTCATATATAATTGGCATGGAAATTTTTTTTACATTACATTTATACTATAAACTCTTTTTATACATAGCAGCTTTATGATACTTAATTTGTTTTGCTTGTTTTAGTTGTAATGGCATGGTCTGTCTTTTTTGATGCCAGGTTGACAGTAAAGGTCTCGTGAAACAATCTTCTCCAAAACATTCTCAAACAATTTTGAATCAGTTGAACCAACAGCGGCTTTCTAGTCAGTTCTGTGATGTTACCTTGCTGATTGAGGGAGAAGTGTACAAAGCACACAAATCTATTTTGGCAGCCAACAGTGAATACTTCAGAGAACTTTTTATTGAAAAGGGAGCTGTTTCCAGCCATGAAGCAGTAGTAGATCTTTCAGGTAATGTATCATAATATCAATGAGTTTATTATACATGCAGATTTTTAAAGGGCAAATCAATCAAATATGTAAAATATATTAGACTTATGCTGTCAGGTTTTCCTGAAGAAAAGATGCTTGGATTTTTTTATTTGTTGTGCTTTTTGTTCAATATGATAGAAAGCTAATTTGTACAGTGTTCCCCCGATTTATTTATTTAGTGAATTTATGTCCTATCTTTCAAGATAAAAAAGGACCTAATCTACAATAGTGTATATATGAATGTACCACATTTAAATATAACTAAAATGATTTTATATCATAATGTTAAATACAGAATTACATCATAGCAGCTTATGACTTAAGTGAAAAGCACTGAAGCAAATGTTTACTTAAAACAGATAAGGAATGAATGTATTTCTATGCAGAGGATTCTTGAGCTGTGTGACAGCTATTGAAAAGACCCTGTTCTCAGCATTCATCAGAGTGGCAGGCTTCTGTTTTTATAAAATAAATGGTGAGGGTCTATTCTTTTATCAAAGCTTTCTAATTTTGTTTATTTGTTTTGTGTGTATACGTGCAGGATTTCGGAAGGCCAGTTTCCTCCCTTTGCTAGAATTTGCTTACACTTCAGAATTAATTTTTGATTTTTGTAACATGGCAGCTGTAGCTGAGCTAGCTCAGCATCTTCTCATGACAGAGGTCTTGGAAATCTGTGAAAATGTACACAAACAGATGGAAGATAAACAAATCACCGTATACCAGAAAGGAGATGTTCAAATAGTAGAGGTAGCTCAAACTACTTTAGAGCAGAATGAAAATGAAGCTAATCCTGTTGCCAGCACCGAGCAAGCAATATCTACTGAAGATCCAGTAGCAACTGTGAATGGAACAGCTTCAAATACCGAGGCAAAAGAGATAGCTGTATCTGAAACTGCATTGCAAAGTGTTTCAGAGCCTCTTGTGAAGAATCCTCCTGAGCTCCCGGTGCATACTCCTGCGCTGGAAACAATAGAGAATGAAGAGAAAGCCCCAGAGATGGAATGTTCCACAAATCAAACTATAACTGTGGTGCAAACTGAGCCTTCAGTAGCAGAGCAAGTTGTTGTTAGTACTCAGGCTGAAAATGAAGCTGATAAAAATATAAATGGAGATCAAAATGTGAACAGTGAACATAATGTGAGCAGCGAAACAAATGCAGAAGTTGCTGCTGAGAATTCCCAGGAAGGACTTAAGCGAAAACGTGGTAGGCCTTGTAAAATACAGGATATTCCACAGTCACAATCAGAGACCACAACTTTTAGTCAAGATGATACTTATAAAAGCAAGCTTCGCCAGCGATCTGTTAGTGAGGGTGGCTATATTCGACTGCACAAAGGTACTGAGAAAAAACTACAGAACAGAAAGCCAGCCCTCAAATCAGCTATTCAGCAGGTATAAGTGCTCAAGCTCTAATTTTTCAAAAAGTATATGTGTGGGGGGGGAGACAGGATTATCTATAAAAATCTTGAAGTTGTAAAAATTTACAATACTTTTTTTCTTTCTGGCAAGCCCACAAAGTGATAATATACTGACATTTTAAAGAACCTAAAAACCATATATACTGTATATCAGCTGTACAACAAAATGATTTTAATTTTCCAGTTAATACATTTACATAGCAATGACCTGTAACTATAGCTGATTGGAATAGGGACAGATGTTAGCTCAAAAGAGGTAGCTGGGTGATATTATTAATTAAATTTGTGTGCCACCCAGTTCTCAATAACTATTTGCAGCTGACAACAATCAAAAGAAAAGATGGCAAGTGGTTCAGATCAGATAGCATGAAGCAAGAGTTCTCACTCTCCTTCACTAAAGATCTGGGTAAAGAGCTAGGTCTTCACTGCTCTTCTAAACAACATCAAGGGGGGGGGGCATCTGGATCTTGATAGAAGAGACTTCATTTCAGAGGGCAGGTGTTGCTACAGAGAAGGCATGTCTCCCAAGTCTTGATAGATAATATTTAATCAAAGGAATGCAGAGCCCACCAACCTTGTATGATCAAACAGATCTTGTAAGATATTATGGGAGACAGGTTTACTTCAAGGATACTTAAGAATTCAATGCTATATGTGTTGCGGGCACACACAAAAATTGTATATAGAGATTATGATATTCTTTCAAATAATGTTTTGTATTCCATCAAATACAGATACAAATTTTCAAATGCATTTAAAAATTCCTTGAGGCCAATCGAATATTTCTTCTTCCCATCCCTTAGATAGAACTAATAAGATATATTTACCAATTATGAGATTATACTGTATGTCATAGTAAAGGGCATGATTTGGATGGATTGGTGGACTGGGAAGCTAAATAGGGTCGTGACTGAATGGAATTTGGATGGGAGATTTTCAGGAAAGATCAGAGGCATAAGCTACATTGCACTATTTTAAAAAATATCACACAAAAGTAATGGCAACTAACTTCTATATTTTATGTTCATTAAGTCACTAGGAGTTAACTCAAAAAAGATTGGCTTTTCTGATCATGTATGTTGCTTCTCTGCAGGTAATATGTTTGAGTTGTTGGTTTTTCTGTTTTCTGTGTAACTAATATTAATTTTAAATATCAATTTTTTAATCAGGTTGCTATGAAGCTAGTGCAAAGAGGCAAGAAGATGAAGCAACCCAAAAGAGAGATTATAGAACACACTGAGGCAGAAGCTCAACACAAATGCAGTGAATGTGGGATGGTTTTCCAGAGACGTTATGCTCTTATAATGCACACACTGAAGCATGAAAGGACGAAAAATTATAAATGCCCAGTAAGCACTTGGTAAAATGTACTATGAGTAAAGATTCCTGTAACAGTGTTAATCTATTCTTTGAATGACAAGTTTCTCTGATGGAGTTTAACCTGACAATATTCCTGAACATAAATTTCAATCCTTATTTCATAATGATCAAAATACATGGTTTGAAACATTATATTGCAAGTGGGGTAGTCATTTCCATATCTGGGAAATGTAAATAGAGTTGATTAGACACATCTGGCATTCCAGATTTCCCTACAGTTGAACGTTAAATCTTTTATCTTTGGATTGATACATACACACTGTAGTTTCATCTGAATGTGAATACACATACACACATTCTATATCCCTATTTTTTTTATAAGATTTCTCACAAGAAGTCAAATATTTGTTTCCTTAGCTATGCAAAAAAGAGTTCCAGTACGGTGCTTCACTGCGAGCTCACCTTGTTCGTCATACCCAAAAAAATGAAGTGACTGTTGCAACTGCTAATACAGAAGAAAGTGGTGCTGCCAGAAAGGGAAGAACTAAACGAGAATTTATCTGTGATATATGTGGAAGAAGTTTGCCTAAACTTTATTCTTTGCGAATCCATATGTTGAAACATACAGGTGTAAAGCCACATGCATGTAAGGTAATGTTTTCTTCACTTTAATATTAATGCACTTTCTGTGGTAGAAAGTAAGTTTTGGAATTCCTTTCCTTTGAGGTCCAATCTGTTTCCTTATGAATTTCAGGAGAGCAGTTAATGTCTATTGTTTCATCTGCTGCAGGCGAAGGGCATACTGTGATAAAAGTCTGACATTGACAAGTGCATGATTTTGCATATTTCTGGATAGTTCTAATATTATTAATGCTGTTTATATTGTAAGTAGGCTTATTTATTTTTGAGAGGATATTTTTAATCTATGAAATTATTTTGATTATTAGTCTCCCAGACTCTTCAGGTATGGAAAACATTGTCAGTTTATTGCAATCATAGATTTTTCCATTGTAGTCTGTTCCTAACCTGGTCCTTTAGGTCTTCCAACAGTGCATTTATTACTGCTACAACGGAGTCTACCCAACTTGCTGATCCTCTCTTTTCCTTTTTTTCCCCCATCTTTCCCAGCATCAAGAGTATTTTCAAAGTGCTAGGTTTTTGCATAATGTATCTGAAGTAGGACATTTACATTATAGTCATTTGATTTATAAAATTGCCCAATCAAACTATGTCTGGATAGTCAACAACAACAGAAAATAACATCAAAAAAGGATAATTTGTATCTCAAGTGCTCTAGATTGATTTGTTCAGCAATCCATTTATTTGTTTTCTTGACTGTGCATGATGTTCTCAAGTATTTTCTCCAACACCAAAGTTCCAAAGAGTTGATACTCTTTCTATCCAACTTTCTTGAATCCCACTACAATTGTCTTCTGCACAGTATGAATGATGTCTTTGCCATTGTAAGTACAGTGATCTGTCTCCAGCAACTTTTTATATTACTGCTGTCCAATATAGGTGGCTGCTTGCTTTTGCTGTGCAACTAGGATGACCTTTACAACTTGGAAATTCTGCTGGAAAATATACCTTCACATACCCACCAGGGTCGTTGCTCATTCCTGCCTGGAACACCCTTTCTCCCATCATAGTGAAGCAGCAAACAGGACTTGTGAGAGAAAGGACAGCATGCAACCAAATAAATAAAATAAGCATCTCTCCAGCAAAGTAATCTAGTTACCCCAAAGCTTTGCAAAATCCAGATGACCACTAGATGGTAGCAAAAAGTGGATGGTTTTGATGCCTTTACTGTCACTGAGTGGTTGTATGGATTTTTTGCAATTCAGATCTAACAGTCCTAAAGAATGCTAGCCCTAGGGGAAAAATGTCAGATGCTTATGGATCATGCAATATAAGCAGATTCAGTGAAGCTTTCTTCATCTTAGTGTATTGCGATTCACCTTGAAAGACAATACTATTTTTGTGATGTTGTTGTTTAATAGATTTGTGGAAAGTCATTTACCTACAAACATGGTTTAAAGATGCATCTTGTGTTGCATGAGGCACAAAAGCAGTTTAAGTGTGAATTGTGTGACAAGTCCTTTGTCACAAAAAGAAGCCTTCAGGAGCATGTAAGCATTCACACAGGTAAATGACACATATTATTAATTAATGCCAGAAATAAAATAATGTAAAAAGGAGTATAATGTCACTTCTCAATCTAATGGATTTCTTCTTTCACTTTATTTCTATAAGTTTATACATCCAAAAAATTACACAAGATTAGTTCTGTGTAGTAAACATGATTTAACCATCAGTGTGGCCAAGATGCCAATCAATGGGAATTTTATGGGTGTTTTTTTTAAGACTAGAAACCAGCCAGCTGGACTGGCTGGCTTCTTCCCTTGTTATTTCCAGGTCTGAATGCTCAGTTGGGTTGGGCAACTAATCTGTATGGGACCAATATTCCATTCTTCATTCTGAGCATGTACAGAAGCTGTGCTACCTGTTGAAACCTCCAAACAAGCTCAAAGAGAATGTATCAAATATAGAGCCAGTTTTCAGGAATGTATAAAATATGTATGCTAAACTACAGCCACATTTTTCAGTAAGGAAGTGAAGCATTCTACACATCTTTGATGAGTCTTTAAAGTCAGCCTTCTTATGCTCTATATTTGACCAACTGTTTTTAATCAGTGTTTGAAAAATAATTTCATACTGAATATTATCATTAATATATTTTACTTCATATATTATTTGGGAATAGGAAACAGCCATAGTAATTAAGAATAGTAGCATAATGGTTTCATAAAAGTAAGAAGATTAAGATTTGTCAGGGGGGTTAACATGAGGAGGGGGGTTGGATTATTTATTTGAGTTTTAGAAAGTGTTTACATGTGTTAGGAGAATTAATGAATTGTGAATATTTTGTTTCCTATCAAAAATCAGGGGATAGTTACATCTCTTTTTGCCAGATTGTCATCAGATAGTAATAATAATAATAATTAATAATTAATAATAATAATAATGTTGGAAGGGACCTGGGAGGTCATCTAGTCCAACCCCCTGCTCAGGCAGGAAACCCTATACCATTTCAGACAAATGGCTGTCCAGTCTCTTCTTAAAAACTTCCTGTGTTGGAGCATTCACCGCTTCTGGAGGCAGGTTGTTCCACTGGTTAATTGTTCTAACTGTCAGGAAGTTTCTCCTTCGTTCTAGGTTGCTTCTCAGCTCCAAGTATCTTTCGGAAGTTGCATATGGTTTGTAGTTTGCCTAGCCATATATTACAGATACTTTTATCATTTTCAGGAGAATCAAAATACTTCTGTTCACACTGTGGAAAATCTTTTCATAGAGCTTCAGGGCTTAGTAAACACTTAAAGAAACACCAGCCCAAACCTGAAGTCCGTGGCTATCAATGCAACCAGTAAGTATAATTAAAAGGTTTGAAAGTAGCTTGGCTAATCTTGGTGGGTAATAAGTGATTATCTATTTTATTCATGATGAAAGCAAAAATTACTTAAATATTAGTTGAATTCTTACAAAATTTCTCAGAACTTTGAAATAATTTATAATAAGCAGTCTTTACGTTAGTAGCTTAATAACACTTTTATTAGGTATTTTTAGAGTACCGTGTTTTCCCGAAAACAAGACCCAGTTTATTTTATTTTATTTTAATTTTTGCCTCCAAAAGAGGCACCAGCTCTTATTTTTGGGTGGATGTCTTTTCCAGGGTCTCAACTCACGGTGGTGGCACCAACAGCCCCGCCCAGCCAGCCCACTTCTTCTGCGGGTGAAGGAAATGACTCTGCAGCTGGGAATGGACCTCTGGATTGACACGCGTGGCACCTCCCAATCTGCATTTCACTATCAGAGGCCTTTCTGGAAGGCTTCTGATGGTGAAATACAGGCCGGGAGGGAATCTGGAGTTCCATTCTCAGCTGCAGAGGCATTTCATGAAGGCCTCTGATGGCGAAATGCAGGCCAGGGGGCACTGCAGAAGTGGGCCAGCGAGGCGAGGCAGGTGTCAATTCATGGGAGGCCTAGCTGCGACAGTAAGCAGGTATGAGGCGTGTGGGGCAGCTCCACCTCCCCACCCCCACTCTAGCTTGATTTTTAGGCATGCACCTCGCTGCAAAACTAGGGCTTAATTTTGGGGTAGGGCTTATATTAGGCCCACCCCTAAAAATCAAGCTAGGGCTTATTTTAGGAGTAGTTCTTACTTTCGAGGAAATACGGTAGGACTTAAGCTATTAAATTGTAGCATTGTTCAGGGTTCCAGATAGGCATGATCTGAATCTTCCTCAACATTCTTATTAGGCTGTTTTGGCTGGAATTTTTGCCTCTTAAAAATATTTCAAAACGTTCTAATTTCTTTATTCTTCTTGCTTTCTTATAACAGGAGCTCAGCTTTAGTCTTTTCAGCACTCTCCATACAAATTCACTCTCTAGAAGGAATTTCTAAAGGGAATCCTGTTCAGGATTTCAGCCAACCATATTTTTATTATAAGTAATTTCAAGTATAGTATTTTGCTCTCATCCCATATTTTGGGTTCATATTGAGACTAAGTATTGTATAGCTTTTGGGTGAATTTAGTGCTCAGTGAGCTAGAATCTTTTTACTTGAATGGGTGAGTTCTCCATTAGATTTCTTTAATTTTTGTAATTCCTCAGTATCCTTGAATATACCAATGCTCCTTGTTTTAGTACCTCTTGGGATCCCTAAAATTGGTTTGCTTATTTTCACTTCATGCTCCTACTCATTAAAATTGTATGAATCTTATTTTTCCACTGCATAGTGCATGGAAATAGTAGTTTATTCTGAAGACAACAAATTGAAACCATTCTTTATTTTATAAATGTTATTTATTCCAGAGAAAAGTAGCAATATTGGTTGTAGAATAGTCTTGAAAACAGTTCTGGAAAGTTAATTACTTTAGAATTATCCCTTTTTTCATAATCTGATAGAGGATTAACTATTTTGTAGCATAGGCAAATTGTTTCATATTTTTATAGTGATTGTTTTCAGATATGAAGCAATAGTATTAATTCATGTATACATATGGCTGCACTGCACTCCCTTTTTTCTTTACTAAGGACTAGATACATGTATTCTATATTATTCATCACAAATCTAATTTCAGGTGTGAGAAAAGTTTCTATGAACCTCGGGATCTCCGCCAGCATATGAACAAACATCTTGGAGTGAAACCTTTTCAATGTCAGTTTTGTGGGAAATGCTATAGTTGGAAGAAGGATTGGTATTCTCATGTAAAGTCACATTCTGTTACTGATCCATACAGGTAAACAAGCTGAATACTCTTAGCTGCAAGTACTTAGATTTAAAAGAAAGCCTCTAGCCAGATTTATGTAACCTGTAATTTTGCTTATGTGATGGGATAACTTTTAAATGCAAAATGTTATATTGAATCATACCCAATGGTTACTGGAAAAAAAGCTCCCTTTTTTGCCTCAATATTTTGTTTTGAATGTTTTTATTTAGGCAGTCTATTTACCAATTTATTCAATTCCAGCAAAGTCTACCAGAGTTTATATCACTGTATAAACTTGATTTGTTTGTTTGTAGATTTGATATTCAGTATCAAGCTTTTGAATTATTAAGAACTTTTGGTAAGGCAGAACTCTTTGCAAACCAAAAAATTAAAAAGAGGATGTAAATGTACAAGCTGTACATAAGAATTTCACAAGACTCTAGTTCTAGTATTTCACTTTTGCTAGCAAGTTGGAGAGCTATTTTTTTAACTACACCAGCTTTCCTCTACAAACACTGTATCACTCCAGTAGTTCTTACTTAAAACATTTTGACTAAAACCGTTTAGTAAAGTTGGCTATCATGGAATATAAGAACAGGTTATATTCCTAATTTCCTTGAGGTTTTTCCACAGGCTGGAATATGGTAAAAGATACTTATTTTGGCTCCAGTTGACTTTCAAAATGACTTAGATTTGTTTTTCCATAAAATCCAATATTAGACTCTCCTATTTGAGCAGGGTATTGGACTAGAAGACCACCAAGGTCTCTTCCAATTCTGTTATTCTGTTAAAATTTCATAATGTATTAAAACCAGGAGATACCAATAAAAGAATAAAAAATGAAAAGTAGAAATTTCTCTCTTACTTTAACATTGTAAGCCACCTGATCATTTGAAGCTGACAGCCTCTAACTCTAAAAAAATCAATCAATAAACAGTTTTTAGAATTTAGGTAATATCATTTTATTTATTCTTATTAGTAACTAGTGAGAATGTCACCTTGGTGTTTTGTAGCAAAAAGGAAAAACAGTTGATATAGTAAGCTTTTATTTATAAGTGCAGTTGGTAAACTGAAAAAATAGTGGCTTGGACAAAGTAGTTGAGATAACTGGAGGATTTATTCTTTTGATTTCAACTACTCTTTTAAAACTTTTCCTGTAATAAATTAGAAATTTCTTCCTATTTTGGCTTTCTATAAGAAAACATTCTTGATCTCTAAAGTTTTCTGTTTATGTAACTGAAAAATGCAGTCTGTTGTCATCCAATTTTCATCATGCTCGCTTTCAAGGAACAAGAAAAAGATCCATCTTGTGGAGTGAGAATATGGTATCAATGGAAGCTGGGCACTGTTATTTGAGCATAAAAAGTTCTAGTCAACAAAAATGCATAGAGCTGTTGCTAGTTTGCTGATGAGGAAAAAAGCAGATGGCACTGAAAAAGCAGTCTTTTTAATGAACTCTGTATAATTTATCTGTCCCAAATTTCAGTTGAGGACTATTGCCATTGGAACTGAGAAAAGAAGTCATAAAAAGGGTGTTCCTGAGTCATAAACATTATTGCTGAGACAAGATGAAACTATATTGCTGTATACCTGAGTAGGAATTTTCTATTGTTTTATTTAACGTATGCTATCTAATATTGCATCCTTAATTATTGTATTTATATATGGTTATAGAGTTTTTTTAAAAAAACTTATCATTTATAGGTATATAAAGGGCCTCATTGTCTCTCTGAGCCTTCAAGAAAATATTAGCTTTTTAATACTAGTTCTCCACTTTCACTTGTCCTTACTTTCAGAAATGGTAAGCATCTTAACATTTTTTATCGCAATAGTCTATTCAAATGCTAGATTTAAAAGGTGGGGATTTTTTATTCTTGTACTTTATCAAGCTGTTATTTTCCTCGTGTTTAGATGCAATGTGTGTGGCAAAGAGTTCTATGAAAAAGCTTTGTACAGAAGGCATGTTAAAAAAGCCACTCATGGGAAGAAAGGGAGAGCAAAACAAAATTTGGAACGTATTTGTGAACATTGTGGGAGAAAATTTACCCAGCTTCGGGAGTACAGAAGACATATGAACAACCATGAAGGTAAATGAAACAAGACTGATTTTTAAAAATATCACCTTTCTGAAATATAGTCAAGATAATATATTTATTACAGTCAGAGACCACCTGTAAAACAAAGTGTGAGACAGCAAATAAAAATCACAATTACACTCAATAAAACTAGTGGTAAAGGAGTGATTATTTTACAATAATAATAAAACTTAATCACATTAAGAGAAAAAAGAGCATATTAATTAGATAATAACAACTGTAAATAAAAGGGATCTATGTGGTATACAAATCTGAGTTGATGGGGTATTATTAACTTAAACTGGATATCTTTGTAATAGAAACAGTATAAAAGGCATGGGTCAGTGTTTCAGGGACCTCTTCACCACAGGGGCAAAGTCTTTGTTCAAATGTGATATCCTGTAGTGTCCCTCTGGGAACAGCTGTTGGGAGATCACTAAATCTTACCAGGGATAGGGTGCTTCTGAAATTGGGAGCAGTTATTTAGCTTGAAAAAGATAAATGAATGTCCCAAAACACGTCTCCGGGTATCGCAGCCAGATCTAATTAGGCTTCCATATCTTTGATGTATGGTCTAGAAGCTGCCCCTGCAACTTCATATCTAGTGGTGGGATTCAGATATGTGAACAACTGGTTCTCTGTGGATGCCACTTCTGGAAGTCCATTCTGGGCATGGGCAACAAAAAATTATCTACCGGTTCTGCTGAAGTGGTGCGAAATGGCTGAATCCCACCATTGTTCATATCCCATCATCAGGATTGCATTAAGTGAGAAACTCTAGCATTTCAGTTTCTCATGCAATGGCTTATCCCAAGATGAAACATAGTCATGACTTAAAATAAGAGGTATCAAGCCCACAGGGGAAAATAATAAGTTTAACCAATGTTCAGAAATGTTTAAAATAACTTTTGGTTTTCATTACACTAGCCTTACAGAATAAAACCATATTAGGAATACATCATGGGAGCAAGTCATATGTTCCTTAAAAAAAATTGAATTACACCCTCTCTAAAGGAATGAAGGACATTCACAAAACTGGTATTTAATTTTAAACGTAGAAGGTTTTAAAGTTGACAGAAAAAAAGAGATGTACCTAACTTCATATGAAACCTGAATTGTCCCAACCTGTTAAGTCATTCAAGGAGAAATGCTCAGTTCTCCACTTTTAGGAAGTGAGGGAAAGTGAAGGCCGGAGCTACTGCTCTGCAGTGGCAATTCTCTAGAACAGTCCCCTTGTAAAGATCAAATTGCCTCCTCTTTTCTATGCCAGCCAACAAGATAGCAAGCTGCTGCTTGCCACAGTCCAGAAATATACAAATTGGGTAGAAATTTTTGGTGGAAAGAGTTCCTTTTCTCTAAGATAAAGATGACAGCTGTAATGTAGTCAAGACTTGGCACAGGTTAAGACAAGGATTCAATAAACAAACAATAAAACCAAAGGAGAGAAGAGACAAGGTGGACTAGAATCTAGACCTCTAAACACAGCCCGACAAGGTAAACATGGCAAAGCTGAAGCTCTGACTCTACTTCCTCTGCCTCTTCCCATTTCTAATGAAAGACAAGTCCAGCAGGGTCATGACATCCTTCTTGTTGAATTCAAATATGTGTTCTAACTACCTAGCTTGTTTAGTAATCTTTTTAGCTTTTAACCTAATTGTTACTTTTTACTGCTACTTTCATTTGGCTTACTTTATGGTTTATTTTATTTTGTTTTAAATTGTTTTCTGTTAAGACTTACTATGAATATATTTATTTTGAGGGGTCCTTGGTGCACTCTACGTTTGGTTGTTTTCTTGCAGACATTTCATTATCCAAACTTGGCAACATCATCAGTGCTAGCCTAAAACATATTCATGTTTCTATCTCACATAAATCATTCAGAGTCAGTGGCAGCATGATAGAAATGAATAAATGAGACCCTTATCCCCTGTTATTCTTTGGTAGATTTCGTTTGTGTGGGTCTATTTCTTTTAAATTTCTCTCTAGTTTTGATTTTGCCATCTTTATCCTTTATTTTTGTTTATTATGGTATTTTTCCCATTTCAATGGCTTTATTATTATTTATTTATTTAAGTATTTATTTCAAATGGTTTTAACTTGGATTAGGCAGTATTTACATTTAATGATTAAATAATAAAGATATGGCTGTATAAACATGGTTCCGCTTTAGCCATCCTGTATCTTTAGAAAAGATGAAAGAGAGCTAAAACAAATAAGCTGTGTTTACAATTGCCCTATTATTTTCTTTCACTTTTGTATGGAAAAAATAGATGACAGATTCCTAGTCCACCCCACAAATCTCATGATTTACAAGATTAAACTTAATTTATAGAATCTGTAGAGAACAGAATCCAGTCCTTGCACCATATTAATTTCTACATCTCTAACTGAAAGCAAAGATAATTAGCTAATTACAAATTATGTATCTGAAAAGATATTAATATATTGTATTTGAAACTTGATATTGCCTTTTTATCTTGCTAAAACTAGCTTTTTAAATGATAATCACAATAACATGCAAATAGATGGGAAGTAATGCCATTTTTCTGTGTTTTAACACTAATAAATATTTGTTAACCGCAAATATCCTGGATTTAAAATTTCAAAGCAATGTCTCTATGCAAAATGACTATATAAAGGCTTATATTATAATGCACTTACTGGCTGTGAGAAAATCGTATCTTAATCGTTTTTATAGTAATGTTCAGACTTTTAAAGATTAGTAAATGCTTTCTTTCTGTTTCTGTTGAATAGGTGTTAAACCTTTTGAGTGTCTAACTTGCGGTGTTGCATGGGCTGATGCACGTTCCTTAAAACGTCATGTAAGGTCACACACTGGAGAAAGACCTTATGTGTGTTCAATATGCAATGAAGCCTACATAGATGCCCGTACCTTAAGAAAGCACATGACTAAATTTCATCGGGATTATGTACCTTGTAAAATCATGCTGGAAAAGGACACTCTTCAGTTTCATAATCAGGGGACTCAAGTCGAACATGCCATCAGTATTTTAACATCTGATGTGCCAGAACAAGAAACAGAGGTCTGTACCGAAGAGATCGAGACTGTAGTAATCACTGAAGAAACACTTGACACTGTTGCAGCTACTGAAGAGTGTTCAACAGTTTCTACTCTTTCTGACCAAAGTATCATGCAAGTTGTCAATTATGTATTAGCACAACAACAAGGACAGAAAGTGGCAGAGGTTACAGAAGCTATTCAAACAGTAGAAGTAGAAGTGCAGCATGTTTCTGATCAAGACTGAATACAAATATTCATTAATGTAGAACCCTGGCAAAATGGCATTTAATTAACAAAATATTAACAGTTTGGCTGGACTTTTATAGTAATTTCAGGATCCTCTTCTGAGTTTTGTGAAAAAAACATATCTATAATTAAAAAGTAAATTCACCTGATAAGTAATGGACTTGCCCTAAGACTACTGCACCAGATGTAAATGCTTAGTTTTAAAAAAAAAATCCTGTAAAATAAAACCATTTTATGTGATGGTGATAGTTACAATGTAATTTTTGACACAATTATTTTTTTGTTGAGCATTTAATATACCAAAGATTTGTGCCACTCATTTTCAGATTGTAGCTGTATGAAATTCAAGGAAGAGTATGATCTACAAAAATTATGAATGTTATTAATAGAGATAAATAATGTAGTATAATATATTTATTTAGTCAAAATCTCTGTATAGTTTTCTTTAAGTACAAAAACAGTCTGGATGGCATAGACTTTCTTACAGAACAAAGTTTCCTTAAGAACTATTTCTATATTATTTTAAATTATAATCAAATGCATTTCTGCAGTAGGGCAGTCTGCATTAAACTATAGGCAGTTATGAGAGAGAAACTGGGCAGTATCAGCTAAGCACAAAACATCCTGCATTTCCTGTTTTGCTTTACCTATTCTGAAAAATACTTCTGGGATTACATGTTTTGAGATTAGCTAAAGTATTTGTATATATCATGTATAAACTGATAAAAATTGGTTCAGTTTAGAATGAACTAAATACAAATGCTGTATATAAGAAAAACTGGATTGCTTAAATTTATTTCTGTTCACCATGAAGGTCCTAAAGTTTTAGCTTTTGTATTGTCCTGATGTTTATATAATATTCTGTTTTAAAATTTAAGTAATTATGTGGATTAAAGTTTGTGAAAAACAAACCAAAAATTACCTATTATAGTTAATGCACAACTTTGCAAATAATAGCAAATAGTGGTATTCCATATAGTATGTAATGTTTTTATTAACTCAGTTATCCCTACTTGCCAATAAAATAGCTTCATGAGCAAAAAAGAGATATGGGCAAGTCCATGTACTCATGTACCCTTAAAACTGTACAGGTAGTCCTCAACTTACAACAGTTCATTTAGTGACCATTCAAATGGCAGTGAAAAAAGTGGCAGTGAAAAAAGTGACTTATGACCTTTTTCACACTTACAACCATTGCAGCATCCCTGTTCTGACAAAGTCACGCTGGCAAGGTAGAGGTTAAATAGAGTCCATTTATTGTTCACTTGTCACAGTATCAAACAACCCATCAATAGTGTCAGTGAAGCTCCACCCCAGCCCTCAGTTTTCCTCTGTCTGAATTCCCCGGTTCCACAAACTAAGCCCTAGCTAACCCATGAGGCAAAGAGAGAAGTAACAGTACCCCAAGTACTAAGTCTGCAACATAGTCCAGAGTTCCCAAAAAACAAGGCACAATCCAAAAGTCTGAAATCAGTCAATTCCAGAATCCACAAGCGAAGTCCAACGAAGAAACATGATCCAGGATTCACAAGGCAGTGTTCATGAAAGCCAAGAAGGTGCACAGGTGTTCCCGACAAGCACACCTTGCAGCATCTGATTCAATCATCCTTCCCTAGGTGTTCCTTGTGAGGAGAGGTAGGGCTGCTTCCTCGCAATCAGCCTCACTAACCTCTTATGTACCTCCTTCCACTCTTATTCTCCTGTTCTGACCTGGCTCCCCAAACACAACAGACACGCCAAATAGTCTCTAATGTTCCTTTATTTCAGGAACACCAGCAGTTTCACAGTCTCCAAACAATGGAGCTCGCTCCCTTTTCCCCTGTAGGGGTCTCCCAATACCCAGAGTTACTCTCCGTCTCACCATGCTTGCCGCCAAAAGTCCTTCAAACAAGCTGGCTATTGTTTAACATAAGACACACCCACACTCAGTGCCACAGGATCTGCAGAAAAATCTGGCAAAATTCCAAAAAGTGTCAGGACTTCCAAACACAAGTGGCTGACCAGCAGGAAGACGAATAGTTGTCTGCCACACCTATTCATCTTCGTCCCTGCCTTTTATTCACAACTGAGGGTGGGGCTATGTTACTGGTGACTCTTCCGCCTCGAAGACCGCCCCATAGCCTCTCATTGTTCTCAGCTTCCACTGTGCCCACGCATCAATTACTGGCCCCAAGTGATCCTCCTCTCCCGACTCACTTGCTTCAAGCATGGAAGTCTCAACCTTTCCATCTGAGAGCTGGTGAACAGCCCAGAGTCTGCCTCTGTACTTGGCTGTGACAGTTCCATTCTTTCGTCGGAGCTTTCAGATGCCCCTGACGCTGAGCCCGGCGCCCTTTCCTGTGCTTCCTCATCTGAACTGGTTGCTGAGTCCTCTGGTGACCGACAGGCCACAACTCATCCATGGATCAGGTGGGGAAGGCAGCTGTTCCTTGTCAGAGGTGGTCTGAAGCCTGTCATCTCCGCTGGCTCTTTGCAGCTGCTCCACTCCTGCAGGTGGTTCTCTAGTTGGCCACACCCTCCCCCCATTACTAGACAATCATGGGATTGCCTCGTCCTTAGCCCCTGGCCTCTCATTCAGAAGGGATTGTCCTCCCTGTTGAGCAGTCCCAGTTCTACTCCTCTGAACCAGGATCCAATAAAGCAATGACAGTCCCCATGGTCACATGATCAAAATTTAGATGCTTGGCAATTGACTCATATTTATGGTGGTTGCAGTGTCCCAGAGTCATGTGATCCCCTTTTGCGACTTTCTTACAAGCAAAGTCAATGGGGAAGCCAGATTCACTTAACTGTGTTACTAACTTAACAACTGCAGTGATTCACTTAGCAACTGTGGCAAGAGAGGCCTGTCAGGCTGGAGTCCAGGTGCAGAGGCAATGACGTGGAAGGGATCAAAATGGGAAGCCCCTGCCCACCGCTGCCTGCCTGTTGCCCTCTCTGCCCGGAGCCTTTGGCAGTTTAAAATAAAAAGCCTGCAGAGCACCGACTTCCTTTTTTTCTTCCACCCTTTCCTCCATTGCCTCTGCTCCTGGACTCTGGCCTCACACTAAATGGGGAATTGGTCTGCTGCCTTACACCAGGCTTCCCCCCCATTCCTGCCCCATGCCAGGCTTCCCCCCCACATAATTGGAGAAGCTGCGCCAGTGCCGTTTGCCTCTTTCTTGCCCCACGCCAGGCTTTCCCCCCTCACAATCAGAAAAGCTGTGCCAACCTTGCTGTTCACCTGCTGTCCCACAGCACAGCCCCTGTGATCGGCCATCGCATGCTGCCCCTCTGAGCAACGTCGCTGCTGCCTGCCACCCATCCGATTGGCTGGCGGCTAACTGTCCCTTGTGGTCAAAGTCCCGGAACAAGGGGGGGGCTTAGCAAAAGGACTAGGCCAAAGAATGCAAGGCGGAGGGCCAGGGATCCATTGGCCAGGGAGAATGGGTGGGGAGGGCCAGCCGAGGAGGAACGTTGGAGGCAAATGGGCAGAGGCGGGAAGTTTGAGAAGGAGGCATAGCCAAGGGTGGGAGCCTAAAGGTCCCATTCCGTGCTTACTTCTACCCTTTCTCTGACCAGTTCATAATGTCCTTCTTCCTTTAAATTTATCATTCTTTCCATCAACATCATTCAGATCCAATTTTCTCTTTCTTTCTCTTCATTTCAGCCCATTTGTGAACTTCCTAAATGGGTATCTGGTAATGTAGTCTTTAAATATCCTATCTTGCATAGAATAGGGTGAGAACATGGGACAAAATTGGATATCAGTTACCAAAATCTGCTTAAACTGACAGGATGTGTCCTTATCATTAGCAGGGAATGCTGCATAGTACATAGGTACTATTAAATGTTCTAACCTACTCTATATTATTAAATGCATTTTGTTTGATTTTAATAAAAATAAGTGGATTGAAATACTATTGTAAAATTGTTAGTTAAGCAGAGGTATATGAAATTAGTTTCCAGTTCAGTCACGATGCAAGTGAGGCAATACTGTATGTTTTCTTTTTAAATTACTTCTTAGCTCCTAATTATTGTTAAAAATAAAACCCAAGTACAGTGAGGGAAAAATTTATTTGATCCCCTGCTGATTTTGTACGTATGCCCACTGACAAAGAAATGATCAGTCTATAATTTTAATGGTGGATTTATTTTAACAGTGAGAGACAGAATAACAGCAAAAAAAATCCACAAAAACGCATTTCAAAAAAGTTATAAATTAATTTGCATTTTAATGAATGAAATAAGTATTTGACCCCTTCGCAAAACATGACTTAGTACTTAGTGGCAAAACCCTTATCAGACGTTTCTTATAGATAGCCAGCAGATTTGCACACATCTCAGGAAGGATTTTGTCCCACTCCTCTTTGCAGATCGTCTCCACGTCATTATGGTTTCGAGGCTGACGTTTGGCAGCTCAAACCATCAGCTCCGTCCACAGATTTTCTATGGGATTAAGGTCTGGAGACTGGCTAGGCCACTTCAGGACCTTAATGTGCTTCTTCTTGAGCCACTTCTTTGTTGCCTTGACCATGTGTTTTGGGTCGTTGTCATGGTGGAATACCCATTCATGACCCATTTTCAATACCCTGGCTGAGGGAAGGAGGTTCTCACCTGAGATTTGATGGTCCATCATCCCTTTGATGCGGTGAAGTTGTCCTGTCCCCTTAGCAGAAAAACACCCCCAAAGCATAATGTTTCTAAATCCATATTTGATGGTGGGGATGGTGTTCTTCGGGTCACAGGCAGCATTCCTCCTCCTCCAAACACAGTGAGTTGAGCTGATGCCAAAGAGCTTGATTTGGTCTCATCTGACCCCAACACTTTCACTCAATTCTCCTCTGAATCATTCAGATGTTCATTGCCAAAATTCAGACGGGCCTGTACATGCGGTTTCTTGAGCAGGGGGACATTGGAATGCTGCAGGATTTCAGTTCTCCAAGGCATAGTGTGTTACCAATTGGGTTTTTTTTTTGTGACTATGGTCCCAGCTGCCTTGAGATCATTGACAAGATCCTCCCGTGTAGTTCTGGGCTGATTCCTCACCATTATCATGATCATTGAAACTCCATGAGGTGAAATCTTGCAGGGAGCCCCAGATCGAGGGAGATTGATAGTTATTTTGTGTTTCTTCCATTTGACAACACCAACTGTTGTCATCTTCTCATCAAGCTGCTTGGCAATAGTCTTATAGCCCATTCCAGCCTTGTGTAGGTCTACAAACTTGTCCCTGACATCCTTGGACAGCTCTTTGGTCTTGGCCATGGTGGAGAGTTTGGAATCTGATTGATTGATTGCTTCTGTCAACAGGGGTCTTTTATATAGGTAACAAGCTGAGATTAGGAGTACTACCTTTAAGAGAGTGCTCCTAATCTCAGCTCATTAACTGTATAAAAGACACCTGGGAGCCAGAAATCTTGCTGATTGCTAGGAGATCAAATACTTATTTCACTCATTAAAATGCAAATCAATTTATAACTTCTTTGAAATGTGTTTTTCTGAATTTTTGTTGTTGTTATTCTATCTCTCACTGTTAAAATAAACTTACCATTAAAATTATAGACTGATCATTTCTTTATCAGTGGGCAAACGTACAAAATCAGCAACAAATCAAATAATTTTCTCCCTCACTGTAATAGAGGGTAGGGGTATACTTGTCAGCTGCCACCTTACGCTTGCTTTTGTGCTTTGCTACCATGTAGTGACAGTCTGACATGAAATCTAGATTCGGATGCATTTTCTAGCCCTGCTAACAGATGGCTACAGTGGTTCTTACTACCAGAAATACAACTTTGAAATGCACAGACGTTTTCCAGAGCTATATGTACAAGAGGAGAAAGCATTTATGTGGAAAGTTTTTCAAGGAAGAATGTTGTTGAAAAATACTGTCCAGTACTACTAACACTCTGAATCAGTATGAACTGATTATTCATTTGTTTGCTGAGCCAATGTCCCAGTTTAGCAGTTTACTATAGCAAAAGTGGTAGATTGCTTTAAGCTCTGCATGTGGTCAGATAGTTTGTCTTTTACATAAATGACTAGAGCAATTGTATTTTTTCAGT